TCGGGGATTGGTCCACAAGGAAGAAGAGACAGTGGAGCTTGGAAGGTATGCAACCATGGCTGAGACTGCAAGAGCCACGGTGGAACTCCAGGCTTTAAAGGTTCTACCCTTAACCTCAAAGGTTCCACTTTCCATTGTGATGAAAGCATTTCAGGTTTGCACTGCCCAGCTTGGCAGCCGCAGCCTCACATGACCACAGAGCACTTGAAATACAGTTAATATGCTAAGAAAGCCCATTTAAATTTTTAATTTCAATTTGCTTAAATTCAAAGAGCCACAGGGGTCTAGCGGCTCCTGTATTGACAGCACAGGGCCATCTTGTTAGTGGCATCATTTATCACCCTGGGCAGCACTGCTATGGGAATAGCCATATCCTGTAGGTCTATAATGCAGTAGAAATAGAATGTGTGGTGCGAATGGAACTTAAAATTTTAAGTAGCCACAGGGGGAAAAAAAAAAAAAGAGAGAGAGAAACAAGTAAAATTCATTTCATAATATGCTTTATCTCTATTTTCAAAATATTGTCATCTCGACATGTAAGAAATATAGGAAGTATTGAGATATTTTACATTCTTTTGTTCATCATAAGTGTTTGAGATCCCATGTGCATCTGACACAGCACCTGACTTCGAACTCACCACATTGTGAGTGCCCCATAGCCCACGTGGCCCTGGTTTAGAGATTTCAGAACACATTCATGGAAAATTCTCTTGCCTGATCCTCATTCACTACCCTGGGAAGTGGCCAGATAAGGAAGCAAGGCCCAGAAGGGCTCAGCCAGTGGTTCTCAGACTCCAGAGTCATCGCGTCCCTGGAGGGCAGGTTAACTCACAGACAACTGGGCCCTGCCCTCTGCATTTGCCATCCAGCAGGTCTGGGCGGGCGCCAGGATGTGGATTCCTAACAGGAGAGGCTGATGCTGCCAGTCTGGGGTCACATTTTGAGAAGCATTGCTCCAAGGGCCCCACCCACGCTCACACCCCAGTAAGTAGATGGCTCAGAATTGAAATCCTTGCTTTCCATCTTACATCTCATTCTCTTTATATGCACAGCCATGAAGCCAGGTTGCTAAGACAGTCTGAAAACAACTACCAAAGAACAGAGGTGCTGCTCATAGTTACCCCAATGTGCTGCAGCCCCTGTCCTCCAGCCAGTGACAGCAGAGTGACCTCATTTGGATACTTTGTAAGCATTGGACCAGTGTGACCTATCCCAGTCCTGTGCCTTTCTCTGGCTGACTTTTCTTTTGTCTCATGTGACTGTGGGTTCAATTTCTTTAAAGGAAATCATTTAATGAAATCTTAAGAAAGCCCTCACCTTTATATCTGGTGTAACAGTTGAGTTTGTGGGGTAGAGCTGAGGGCTCTATCATTGCAATATCTAGGGTGTCCCTGGAGTTCAGGTGGGAATCTGAAGACACTTTCCTGTTCCACACAGGCGACTTCAGACAATGTCCTGCACTTAGCCATGGGTAAATCATGCTTTTAATATGCTCAGTGGCAGAACTGGTCAAAGCCACTCTGAGCTGCTGAGAGCACTTCAGATTATTTTCCACAACAGCAGGCGATAGAAGTGGCTTTCAGGACCTGCTGTCATGGCTGCTGAGAACCAAGACTTCTCTTGGTGCACTGTGACTTGCAGGGAAAGCTGTGTCTGTCTGACCTGTGGGCCAGAGGTTCTGAAGGTTGCTTGAGGTTGCAGGCACCTCCAAGCTTGAGCAGCACTTTTGAAGTATGGAGATGGAATGCGAGTTATTCACATCTCTAACAAAGGAGCTGCTGCTTCTGGCTTCAGGAGGGGCTGAGAGTCCCCTGATTCACTGTCTCATCACTGGGCTGGAAGCTCCACAGGAATCAGTTAGGCCTGCGGGCCATGCTTTCAGCACTTGGAGGAGAAAGTCCCTTAGACTCAGTCTATCTTTGGCTCCATGCCACTCTCACAATGTACAGGGAAGCCACTTGGGCCTGATGCTGGAATTTAATCAACAGACCAGGAACAGGCCCCCGTGTGTACTGGGCAAAAGGACAGGATGGGTGTGCTGAAAAGCATCTCACAAACAGACTTTGTTTTCCCGTGTTTTAACTCAGCGTGAAAGTTCCTCTAGGTCTCCTCTCCTGGGGGAGAAAGCTAGTGGCTTCTTTCCTGTTCCGGTGCTTTTTTAGTGTCCTGAGAGAGAACAGCTATGGACACCCAGCTGCCCCAGCCTCTTCCTGTCCCAGGGCTCCCAGGTTGCCCCTCAGCAGTCTCCAGCTTCCCACTCCTGTGAGCAGGGGCCTCTCTTTTTGGCTTTCCTGACATTTCTCCTGACCTCTTCCGCTAGCCTTCCTGAATGCACAGTAATATCTGTACATCGTAGCTGGTCCCCAAGCTGTTGCCTCTCTGTCTCTCCATCTACTGTTGCATCTGTGCACTTTAGAAGTAACAGGGAGCCTTCAAAATATATGGATGCCTGGACGCCACTCCAGATAATTCAGTTACAGTCTCTGAAGACAGGGCCCAGGCATGCATGTGTGAGGCTTTCAGGTAATGCCAGCAGGCAGCGTGTACTGGAAAACTCTGTATTGAGGTTGAGGCCCTCATGCTGCAGAGGGGACCTACAGCACAGCGAAGTAAGTTCCTGGAAGCACTAGTTTTTTGCCACATAGGGCTAATAACCCTGGGGACAGTTGTGCATGCTTCTCTTCTTAGATGCTAGCTTACTATGCTTGGAGGTGTACACAGGTGTATGGGGAGAGGAGGGCAGAATCAGGAAGCATTAGGAGAAAAACCTAAAGTAGACATGGGAAGGATTCCAGGGGCTCAGACATGAGGCAGGACAAGAAGAAATACTTTCTCAGGAAAGGGAAGGGGCCAAGTGTTCAATGGGCCGAGAGGACAGCAGAAGAGGGGAGACCAGGAGGACAAGATACCCCCAGCACTTCCACACTAAGCCCTGGAAAGGCTACCTGCAGAGGAGCCACATCAGGGTTTTCCCAAGACCAGGGTTAAAGGGAAAAGCCCCTAAACTCCTCTTCCCTCCCAAATCTGAGGTTGCCCTTGTTCCCTTCCACCAAAGGATGTTGCCAAGTAGAATGACAAAGGTGCCATCTCCTTCCTCTTTCTGAGGGAAGGGTCTCTCTCTTAAGGACAAAGATGCGAAGAGTCTCTCTCTTAGGGACAAAGAGGAAAGGACAGACCAACCTACAGAGTGGAGGAGTGCTAGACCAAATCCTCCCAATACATCTATTTGAGTGACAGAGAACGGGGACAGTGGTTGAGGTCAACCACGGAGCTGCACTGTCGCTGATCAGCCCATGCTCCCATCCCACGCCTGGACAAACAGCAATCGGCAGCTCCCCCACCCCCGCAGCCTTGGAAAGGCCTCCTCCAGTTGCATCCCGACTCCCTCCTCTCCATCACTGTCCCAGCTACCCAGCGGAAAGCTGAGGCCCCATCCCCCAGGTAGCCAATTCTAGACCCACCAAAAGCCCTTATGGGCTGTGCTGGGGACTAAAGGGGGCCACTATCCCACAGAGATGGGGCCAAAGACAGTCAGCCTCCTAAAGTCAGCGCTACTTTAAGAATAACTTTCCCAGGCCGATCCCCAGTTCAGGAACGTTGCTGTGCCCTGTGCCAGCTAGAGGGACTAGGGCTGGAGCTGGCGGCTGCTCCTGGGTGTCCAGCCCAGGGGTGAGTGAACTCACTATCTCTAGAGTTTAGCTGGAGAAGGGGAATTCCAGGCCGGAACCACTTTCTTTCCCGACCTCTCAACCGCAGTCCTCCCCAGGCACATTTCAGAGGCCAGGGATGGAGACGCAGTCACAGGGTGAAGTTTCCGAGATGTCCGGCTCCCGTAGCTTCTGCCAGTTCCTGAGGGAGCTAGCACAGGCTTGGCCTTCTTTGGTGGCATCTCTACCTCCACCTGTCCGTCTCCATTCCTTGTGCCCACCCCACCTCAACTGCTCGGAGACAGAAGTTAAAAGGTCCGGCATCTGCAGTTGTCCGGGGTGGGTTGGGGAGCAGGGAAAGGAATGGTGAACGGTGGGGAAAACGACATCCTGACAGACCTGAAATTCACCAAGAGACTAGTGGAAGCCTCAGGTTCCGCCTCTGTCAAATGGACCCAGCTATGGGCCAGGATGGGTCGTCGCAAGGATTAAAGGGCAGGGTGAGGGGATGTCAAGTGCAAGGCAAGTGTCTCCGAGGTTCCAGGTGGTCCCTGACCAATTCCGGACACATCTTTACCCAAAGGGAGGACTC